GGGCGGGGCTGGGCGGGGCGGGGCGTGGAGGTGCCACGTTCCCAGCAGAGGCCTGAAAAGGGAGAAGGAAGTGGGGGTTTGTGTCCTTGAGGTTAGAACAGGAGCTGCGGGGCGAGGTCCCCAAGAATAGCGTAGAAAACATCAAAGCAGAAGGGACGTGCCCCCGGCAGGGAGGCTGGGAAGGTGGCCCAGACGTGCAGGTCTTGGGGCTCCTCCACCCACTCTCATTCGCACATCGCACGTCACACAGAGCCCATGCTCGCCCAGGAACACGTGTGAACGCCCACAGGCTCTGCGGGTGGATACAGGTGGGGAAGGCAGTGGGAGGGGAGTGCCTGGTGGTCCCCGGCAGTGACCACCTCAGGACCGGCATGTGTACCCTGGTCCCGCCTCCCTCCCCAGCACTGACAGCGCCCCCTTGGCGGAGGCAGAAAAGGGAGCTGGTGTTTCGGTAAAGGGAAGCGTGAGACCTCGGGGGCTGGGGTGGGGAGTGGGGCAGGAGGGACGTCACTCAACTCAACCTGAAAACCTCCTCGGAGTGTGGGGTCTGCCCCCCCCCGGGATGGGCGGGGCCTGTGACGTCGTGGTGTGTGTCACTCGGGAGGGCTCTGCCCCCTCACTCCCTTGCCAGTCCCTGGAGCTGATGTCACAGCACCTGTCCCAGCTCCTTGGCATGCGTCCCACTGTCACTGGGCTGTGCCCGGGTGTTTGCTGGGCTGCGTGCACCCAGCTGGCGACAGTGGACCACCCCCCTCCTCCCAGGGTGCAGACACTGAACAAGTGCACTGCACATATACTGCAGTCAGTGCCCTGAAAACAGCGTGCAGCCCTGGGCGGGGGCGCCTTAGACGGGGTTTGGGAAGGGACGTTTGAGGTACGACCTCGAGGTGAACAGGAGGACGTTCTGGGAGGGAGAAACTGGGGGGGCTGATGGGGAGGGGACCCCTTGGGGTGACGCTGAGGATTTCGATTCCGAGTGCAGACTCAAGGGGGATGGGAGCCACCGTCCCCCCCACGCCACCCCCCGCCCCTCCCCTGCAAACCCAGCCAGGCCCTGGGCCACCCCTCTCACCTTGTACACGAACGTGCACACAAAGTCAATGAAGCCGACCTGCAGTTTGGGGAGCTCGGCCGCCTTGTTCCGGTCCATCATCGGCTTGTGGGGGAGCAGGGACACCGTGAGGCACCTGGTGGCAGGCGTGCCTGACACCTCCCCAAGCCCCCAGGACTCAGCCCCACCCCGGCTCGGTGAAACTGTCCACGGAGATGAGAGCAGCGCCCTGGGGATGAGCTGGCCTTGGAAGGGAAAGCCAGGACGCCCCTTCCCTTCCGAGCCACCGCCCCGTTCTGGGGAGCTGCCCTAGGCAGCGCTGGGCTCAGGCCACGTCAGCCAGGCGTGGAGCGCAGAGCCCCTTCCTCCAGCTTCCCCACCCCCCCCTTGAGCTATCCATGGTGCTGACCCAAGGCCTGGCCCGTGACTCCCAAGGGGGCAAACCCCCGATGCTCTTGAAGGAGCTGTCCTTGGTGTCCAGACTCTGGACCCCCTCCCCCACTCCCACCCCCCATCCCCTGTTGCCTCCTGGCAGGCCCTTCCTCAGAGTTGCCCTCTGTCTGGAGCTCGGCGTGCTGGAGTGAGCCACGCAGGACCCTAGAGGCCTGGCCCAGAGGAGACAGAGAGGCTGCCTGCCCTTCCCCCAAGAGACTTTGCTAGTTGGTCAGGGCACCCTTTCCTGCAGTCTGCGCCTGGCCCCAGAGCCTTCCCAGCCCGGTGCTCAGAGAGCTCTTCAGTGGCTGGAGTTGGCTTGTGAGACAAAATCTCTCTCCATCTCTTCTGCCCATTGTTGGGTAATGCTCGTGTCCTTGTCCCCATGCAGGTGCCACTTCAGTCTAGCAACAGATTTCTGACCCCCACGTTGCTGAGCTGAAGATCCCGGCATCGTTAGGGCCCTGAAGGCAGACTTGAGTTCCAGTCACGCCCAGACCGGCCTCCCTCCCTCCCTCCCCTCCACCCCTGTGAGGCCCAGCGAACGTGACCGTGGCTCACAGGTCCAAGCCCCAGGGTCCTTCCAGTACCGGACAGCCCTCCCCCACCCCGGTCCCCGCCTCCTCTCCCCCTCTTCCCTGCAGCCTCAGCCACATCCCGGAGGAGCCCTGGACTCCAGCCACCAGCTCTCTCCGCACGGGCCAGGCCTGCCCTGCCCTGGGCCTTCCTGGAGCAGCTCACAGCCGGGCAGGGCTCACTGCAGAGCTGCCTGGGCCCGTGGAGGCTTTCGGTCATGAGCCACAGTCCGGCTCTGCAGCTTCGGCAATGGCTTTTCATCACTGCAGGCATCACAGTTTTACCCAATCCCTGCCTTTTCTGCAATTTACCCAGATTTGGTCCCAGCTAAATTCTCACCAGGCTCATGTCACGTGACCCCGCAAAGTGAGAGTTAGGTCCCAGGACCCCAGATCCCCGGGGGTCCCCTGTCCGAGGCTCCCAAGCACCGTGATGGGTATATGGAGGGTTCTGGAAGCAACACTCACGATGGGCTGCTGATCCAGAACCGTCCTCTCCAGGTCCCCTTGTTCCCAGAACTCAGCTGCCACCAGCAGAGCGACCTGAAAGGCACACAGACGGCAGGCGTGCTGTGGATTCAGTGATGGTTAGATATTGTCCTGAGATCCTGTCAGGTGCCCTTGGTCTTCTGCACCCCAGACTCTGGTGTCCCTAGTATTCAGGTTGGGCCTGGCACACAGGAGTGCGGCAGCCCATTCCACTGTGGCGGCACTGGCTGGGCCCCAGAGCTGGGCAGCAGCCCTCGGCACTACTTGCAGACGAATGGCTCTGTTTCCGCATCCCAGGCTCCACCTGG